GGCCACCCAGCAACCAGGCAGAGAACTGGTTGCTAATTTTTTTGAAGCCCACCCCTGCTTTATAGCCCAAGGCAAAATGGCCTGTGTTGTCACCATGCTGTGAGAAAGTCTTGGTAGATGGCTTGCACATTACAACCTGTGGTTTGAGAAGATGGAAAAAGCTATTTTGAAAGTAGAACACTTGAGGGTAAGCTTTGGCTGCCTCCACAGTAGGTCAAAACTGAGTCAAAGATTGTGTCATGGGGGTATGTCCTCTAAATGATCAGTTTTATGAAAAGAAGAACTAGGGGTAACATGACAGCAGCCTTCCAAAATTCACAAAAAAATCTATTCTCCAAAGCACCAGAAGGCAGGACAAGAGGCAATGGATGGAAAAGAATCAAGGAGAGAACTAAGGAGAAATTTCCCAAAGTTAGAACAATTAATCAGTGAAATAACTTGCCTCCAGAAATTATGGATACTCCAACACTGGACGTTTTTAAGAAGAGGTTGTCTGAAATGGTGTAGGGTCCCCTATACCATTTCAGAGGGTTGAGCAGAGGGTTGGAGTAGAAAACCTTCAAGGTCACTTCCAACTCTATCATTTTGTTATCAGGGTATCTCCAAATGACGGTTAGCAAGTTGTCCAGAAAAACCCTTCCTGCATTTTTTTTTTTTTTGGTTTTGTAAAGCAACAGGAAAGAGGGCATGTGAATGGTAAAGGCCTTTTTAATATGATGTTTAAGGTTTTCTGGAAAAAAAGGGTTTGGAATATGTAAACTAAATTAATTTAAATCACAGAGAGGGAGTACATGCAAGACTTCTTTGATAGAGTTGCTTGGGCATCATGCCATGGCTGTCAACCAATCGCAATATTATTATCACATGAAATAATTGAAGATGTAAATCAGTACAAAGTGCGTGTATGTTTTATTCATTTATGAAATATTTTCACGTTGCTTATCATGAAAATAAAAGTCATATTGGGCATGCATGCATGTGAAACACAATTTAGATGTTTAGATCTTAAATCAACACGGCCAATTTATACTGTAAAAAATATTAAAAAACAAGATAATGATAGCTTAAAAACAAAATAACCGTCAAAATAACCATAATTAACAGCTATTAAAAAGTAACATATGAAATAAAATTTAAAATCAACAAAAATAACTAAAGGAGGTTGATTCTTAGTAAATAAGCACTATTTGGTCCTGATGTTGTGGACATAATAAAAATAAGAAATTTATAGGAAAAGAGCACAAAAAATCTATATAAGATCAAATGTGTTTTGTAAACTTTTGAAAAAGTGAGAAAAACTAGGTCTGGAAACATCAGTAGTTAAAGTATGATCAAGATTATTATTAGATGTAAAAACCTATGCATGACTGATGCAGTGGCTAAAAAAGGGGATAAAATTAAGTTTATTTCAGGGTCAAAGGATTTGTAGCTTGAGAAGTCTGACAGGTCTAACTTATGTGTTCTGCATTGAAAGCCCGTCCAAGGAGCAATATCCAGAGAGCTTCATAAAACAATAACCCAGATGTGTTTATTTATTCAAGGCATGATTTGGTAAATTTAAAATATTTTTTTATTATTTGCTCAACTAATGCAAAAATAGGTTTTAAACTTGGCAAGGTTCAAGCTAAATAACTATTAAGCATTCCAAGTTACTCATTAAACACAACTGACTTTTGTTTAGCAATATTATATGGAAACTATTTGAAGGGCTTAGATATATCCATGACATGTTTTGTTTAAAATAGAATATCCTATTTATAAACTGAATTATCAAAAACTATGATACTTGTGTCTCTCTTGACATAAATAACTAGTTATCTTCTCAGTTGTAGTCTGAGAAAGTATTCTGGCTACAAATATTTTTTCTTATGTTAGGAACAGAAAGAACTAAAATGTGCATAGCAAGCTTGCTTTTTTTTTTTTTAGCAAAAATGTACTAAATTTTTTAAAAAGAAAATATGTACTGTGCTAGATTTCTCTGAATATGGCACCACATGGTAGGACTCATATACAGTTCCAGAACAATGTCAAAATCTTTTTGTCCTTTGCGGTTACTATAAAAATCTTAGACATTTATAAATATAGTAGAAGAAAAATGGAGGTTGGAGATTAAGGAGGAGCAGGAAAAATAAGGAAGGCTCAGATAAAAGGAACAAGAATGAACCTTCTGGAGAAGGTGAGAATAGCCACTTCCTATTCAGAACACCTCTCCTCCTACAACACTGCATTGCCAGAGGTGTGTGAAGAGTGAGTAGATGAAGCAGTTACAATTGCATCCTAGGTTGGTGATTTCTGCCTGATATTGGATGCAATTTAGCTCTTGGATTTCACTCACTCGAAACCTTGTATTTATTGGAAGTGTTCTACTTTCTTCTTTCCAGCTTCAACCACAGAAAAAAAATAATGTGACTACTCAGAGTAGAATATGTCCATTAATGTGTTTGTGTGTGTGTGTGTGTGTGTGTGTGTGTGTACATAAAATACTATATAACATTGTGAATAATATGGAATATTCTCAAGGATTTATTGACTATAGATTAAAATACAATAGAATTACTTCATTCTCACATATTTTTTACCTCTTAAACTTTGGAAAAGAAATTATTTTCCTTTGTGAGAAGAGGAAGAAAAAAAAAATCCAGATTCATCCAAACAAAAATCTTCTGGCTTTATATTAATAATGACCTCAATTCTGGTCATTAACTTGGAATTAATGACCAGTTAAGGTTAATGGCCCAAGGTCTTGAGTCATTAAACTGCAAAGAAATGCCCTGTTCTTTGATCATTATTCCTTTATTAAAGATGGGTGGCAGTTTTTTTTAAAAAAGTGGTTGTCTCAAAACACAAAGATGATCTAATGCTAACAGTGAATGCAAGTATTGTGTATTTTAGCATCTAAAATGGATTCTTGAAGAAAATAACTCAAATGCTTCTAATAAAAGGTAAAGGTTCCCCTCGCACATATGTGCTAGTCGTTTCCGGCTCTAGTACAAATATATCAATGTCCTACATAGCTACACTATTTGAAATTCACCTCCAGAGGATGCAACAAAAAGAATGGATACAATTTAAGCTGAAAATACTACTGAGAACTTCTAAATTATTCTGTGCCTCTCTCGTTAATATAGAGTTCATCATGTGAGGGATGCAAAAATCAGAAATGGCACTAGATTGTTTACCTTCCCAAATTGATAGTCCTATTCTCAATATTGCCTTTCTCTCTCCCCCCCCCTCACACACACACAGTCTCTCTCTCTCTCTCTCTCCAGACCCATCTAACTATTGATTGATTTATTCATCCATCCATCCATCCATCCTGTCTGTTATGATGCAGCCATTAAAAACAGTCCAGAAAAATATTCATAAATATTCCATTTAGTCCTACTATTCTTGAACATGGAAACAATGATTCTCACATCCCCTTGATATGTGAGATGCTTTCATGAGTTTATTTCATGAAACCATCCATGGCAGTAAACAATACTCAACAACTCCTCTTAGAAATCACATGTTCCAGGAGGCCATCTCTTGAACCCTGCATGTACCCTTCATTCATTCCACAAATAAAAGAGGAGGTATAGAAGAATCACCTTCAGAAGACCTCTTTCTCCCAATTGCTGTGCTGGTGCAGTTGTTCTGAAGGCTGACACAACACATTCCAAAGCCTTTAACATATCCTTGGGGAACAGATACAGATTAACAGAGTTGGAAGAGACCTTGTAGGTCATCTAGTCCAACCCCCCTCCACACCCAAGCAGGAGACTCTACACCATTTCTGACAAATGGCAGTCCAATCTCTTCTTGAAAGTCTCAAGTGATGATGCTCCCACAACTTCCAAGGGCAACTTCTGTTCCATTGGTTGATTGTTCTCACTGTCAGAAAATTTCTCCTTATTTCCTTATTTGAATCTCTCCTTGGTCAGTTTCCATCCATTATTCCTTGTCTGGCCTTCATGTGCCTTAGAAAATAGCTTGGCCCCCTCCTCTTTGTGGCAGCCCCTCAAATATTGGAACACTGCTATCATGTCTCCCCTGATCCTTCACTAGACTAGCCATGCCCAGTTCCTGCAACTGTTCACCCTATGTTTTAGTCTCCAGTCCTCTAATCATCTTGGTTGCTGTTCTCTACACTGTTTCTATACACTTCTATACACTGTTACACACTTTTTAGAGTATTAAAAACATTTTTTTTATAACATGGAGACCAAAAGATGTAAAGTCCTAGCACTGTGATTTCTCAAGAATGGTTTATAAACAATAAACTCTCTTCTGACTAATGTACCATATTTAAATCAAGATTTTTCACTGCATAGAATAAGGGTTAAATGATAACTTGACTTATCTTTTACATGACAAAAAAATAAAGAAATTGCAAGACCTTTTCACATATTAGATATGTATTGTCATTTATCATCTAGATATCGGAGTAGTACTGCAAGGTAATAAAACATATCATCGAAAAATGTGCTATAGGTCTGAATCACTCTCTCATTCCACCTCCCAGCTAACTGTAGTATTAAATCAAACAAGCAGAACATTTCCTTGGGCAGGCATTGCCTTTTAATTTCCTGAAGAACCTTAAAATATCATTCATTACAAGTACTACACATATTTGGTTTTTAAAAGTCTCATAAATCAATAGCAGGCTGACTGTAATAATTATTACAAGTTAGTGCATAATTTTCGTGCTGAAGGCTCCATGTAGAACTTTAGCATATGCAAACGAGGCAATTCAAACTGTGTATAGATATTAATATGAAGGAGCAGGTAACGAGGTGCTGGCTATGAATTATGCATCAAGCGCGGCTGATCTTCAATGAAGAAAATGAATTCAGCATGTAATCTAATTAGTGATGGAAGTCTATTACATCTAACTGCAAAAGCAACCGTCCTTGAAACAAATTTATTTACAGTCCATGTTACCAATTGAAACAACTTTGAAATGATGTGTAAGACAACAGCTTAATTGTAAACTTTTTTTTTTTCCTTTTCTTCCACAGCTCCAGACCTGGGCGGCCCCCAAAACGGACGCAGAGTGTGACCTCGCCAGAAAATTCTCACATCATGCCGCATTCCGTTCCTGGTCTTCTCTCACCGGGAATTATCCCACCGACAGGTAGGAACTTCGTAATATGGAATGGAAAGTCTTCAACCCATGTGGCCTTCGGTGCATCAGAAAGGAACCTACCGATACTGAAACAATGGTGGCATGGGCAAAAGATTTCGGTTATAATATTGAATTGGCTAAATGGCAAAAACTTTGGACCACAAATAAGAATATAACATTGGCTACGGCTTATAAAAAAAATCTTTATAAGCTGTTTTACAGGTGGCATCTTCTGCCAGCAAGGCTTTCTAAAATGTTCCAAATTGTTGGAAGTGCAAAGATGTATCAGGCACATTTTTTTTTTTTTTAAATATGTGGTGGACTTTCAATGTTGCAAAAAAATATTGGAGACTGATTCAAACATGGATAGAACAAATGGTGGGGAAGTGTATTCCATTTAAACTGGAATTTTTTTCTCCTAGGAATAATATCAGAAAAATTATAAGAAGGAAATAATGTATCTAATAGTACATGCATTGACGGCAGCTAGAATAATATATGCACAATACTGAAAAAAAATGAAATCATACCTCCAGAAATAGAAATAATAAGAAAAATTATGGCATGAATCAGATAGGTTAACTTTAGAAATAAAAGACAAAGGAGAATCTAAATATTATAAAACATGGAATAAATTTTATCAATGGTTATATAACAGAAGACAAAGTCAAAATATTAATAGTTATGATCAGATTAGGTGGTAATTAATGTATCAAATCAGGAGATTATAAATGTTGAAGTAAAATGTATATATGTATAATAAAGCTAAGTTGGATGCATTGTGTTGTATTCTCATAATTAAAATTAAAAAATAAATTAAAAAAAGAGAAAAGAACCTACTGAAAACTAGATCTCCAGGTTGAGGGATGCAATTTTTCCACCATTTTGTATTCTTGTGCTGTGGCTTCCTCAAAATGAGGATGTCTTTTGGCTTGTTGGTATGACGTGTTAGGTTGCATACTTGACCAGGAAAGCTGGTTTTACAACCAGCTGAAGAGGACTCCTTATCTTCAGCTACCAATGAGGAATTGTCCACCCGACACGATTGAACAGAAGGGGAAAAAATAGCCATAGTACATAGTAAGGATACTAGAAAAGTTAATGGAGTTTGACTTAGGACAACACAGGACCATTGAAGAGAAGCAGAAACTTCTCAGAGTAAAACATTTACAAGATGGTTATGAAGATCAAATATGCAAGCTGCTAGTATTGCCAGCCAGGAAATAAGGCAAATGAAAACTGGAAAAGAAAGAAAAAGAAATAAAGAAGACAACTGGAAAGAAAGGCTAAAATGAGCAAATTCATTAGAACTAGTCCTTGATTTACAACTGATCTCTTAGCCCTTGAAGTTACAACCAACCCAAAATTACAACCCAGGTTTGAATTTCCAATGGATGGTGCCCATCAGTAGTCACTAACTTTGGGTGCTAACTTTGATTGGCAGCATGACAGCATTTATGAATGTTGCAGCATCCCACACTAAACATGACCACACTTACGATGTGCTGAAAATGCTGAAAACCTACAGTTTCAGTTTTGGCAATATTGCATCCATAGCAAGCCACTGGTTTGCATAATGATCAAGGAATTTGCTTAACAACTGGGCAATCACTAGCGTTCAATTGCTGCATAAAAAGGTCATAAAATGAGATCAGCCATATGACAAACCTATAAAGAGTGGTTGCTGGAACTGGGTATGTCTAGTCTGATGAAAAGAAAGGACTATGGGTGACATGATATCAGTATTCCCATATCTCAGGGACTGCCACACAGAAGAGGGAGTCAAGCTACTCTCCAAAGCACCTGAGGGCAGGACAAGAAGCAATGGGTGGAAACTAATAAAGGAGAGAACCAACTTAGAACTAAAGAGAAATTACCTGACAGTTAGAACAATTAATCAGTGGAACAACTTGCCTCCAGAAATTGTAAATGCTCCAACACTGGAAGCTTTTAAGAAGAGATTGGACAAACTTTTGTCTGAAATGGTATAGGATTTCTTGCCTAAGCAGGGGTTTGGACTAGAAGACCTCCAAGGTCCCTTCCAACTCTGTTATTCTGTTTTACAACTGTTTTAACATATGGTCATAATGGGCAGGTTGAGTCATATGTTGAATCATATCTGGAGAACTACCTATATGTGCAGAATGGGAATATGGTTTGTAGACACCAAAAGCTATAGAATTCAAGGGATTTAAGGTTCCATTTGAAGACATGATAGAAGTATGGCAACTGAAAATTCTATGATGCAATTCCATGGTTCATGAATATTAAAATTCAGGGGATATTTGAAAATGCACTTTGCACAGCTCTCTTGTTTCCCTCTGCTTACTCACCTTGTTTTTTTTTTCTCTTTCCTTTACTTCACCTACCCTTCATTTCATTCTCTCTCTATGTGTATGTATTTAAATCCCCTGATCTGCAGTTTGATGATTGCTTGAAAATTATCTCATTTTTATAAAAAGAAAAGAAAAGTACAAGTATCCTTTTATTTTGAATACTGTTGGCTTTGTAAGAATAGGATGTCTTTATTTGGAAAAAATAATAATGAAAATTGAAATGATGAAAATTACATATGATTCTCTGTAAACATAAATGAATGCATTAGAGAAGGGGTCAGAGAGATAAGGAATCATTTCCAAAAAATACCTATATTGTATTATGCCAGATTTCTAGAGTCCTCTTCTATTCTCCATCTCAAGGTCAAACAGTTATAACTACAAGCCATAAAAAGCCCACTTAACAGTCACACAAACGTCGTAATTCGTTGTTTTTGTAGGAAATGAAGTAAGATGATTTCTTTCCCCTGAAATCTTATCTCAGCTATCACATTCATTAAGAAAGCTTAGCAAGTGATCTAGTGATCACATTCCAAGTGAAACAAGGTGGCCATCCAGAGATCAGCTTGGAAGAATCAAGAGATGTTGGTGGGTTTTCTTGACCTTGTGTTATCAACTGGATCTGCCTTCCTTTGGATTTTCACATCTTTTAACGCTTAACCAGAATATTTTCCAGGGGTGGGAAATGATCTTAAGACTAACTCGGCCTTTTAAGAGTCTGTGTAATTCTGCAATTTCTCACTTTACTTTTCCTTTAACATTTTGCATTTCTGGTGAAAGAATTTCCCTTCCTTTAATGGGGATGTAGGAATTACACAGATCTGTTTCCCCAGCGGTGTGAAACTCCAGGGCTGCTTTTATTATGGCTATTCTTTGGCAAGGAGCGATTACTAGAGGCTTATAGCTCTGTGTAAAAATAGGCTTTCTACAGAAATAGACAAGCTGAAGGCAGCTGAAGGCAGAGAATACATAAGATTCATAAGTCTATTGCCATGCATTAAATTCCCAGGGAAAGCCCCCGTCTCATGGAAGGACTTCTGGCAGTATCTCTTTAGCCTGGTTCTTTTTTTTTTTTGCTCATCTGCTTTCCAGAAATATTTCTGGGTTTTGTTGATACGCAGCTGAAGACAAGCAGTTAAAGAGAAACTTTTGTTTATTAATTTTCACTATTCATATTTAAAGACCACCCACCTCCTTCATTGCAGGGGTGGGCTTCAAAAAATTTAGCAACGGGTTCTCTGCCCAGTTTCTGGGTGGGCACGGCCATGGTGGATGTGGCCTAGTCGGCCTCCTGCACCACGGTGGTGGCGGTGTTTTTGCTCTCCTGGGCTCTGGAGGCTTTACTTGAGCCTCCAGGAGGGCTAAAATGGCCTCCCTGGGCTCTGGAGCAGAGGCGGTTATTCAGCAGGTTCTGACCAGTTCTGGAGAACCGGTAGTGGAAATTTTAAGTAGTTCGGAGAACCAGCAAATACCACCTCTGACTGGAGATTTTACAGTATCCTTCCCCTGCCACACCCACCAAGCCACACCCATAGAACCAGTAGTAAAAAAAAATTGAATCCCACCACTGCATCTGGGGGCCCCCTGGAGGCCAGAAACAGGCCTGTTTCTGGCCTTCCAGAGCCCCTGGGAGGCCCATTTTTCACCCTTCCCGAATCTCTGCGTGGGCCCTGTACTTATCTGGGAACCAAAACGGGGCTGCTTGGGGACTCCTGGGAGGGGTGGGGTTGGATGGGTGGAGCCAGACAGGGGTGAGATTTGCCAGTTCACTGAACCAGCCATAAAATTAGCTAGCACTTAACTAGCAATTCGTCCAAACCAGAGTGAACCAGTAAGCCGCTCACCCCTGAGTGATTTTGGGCGGTCTACTGATGCAAAGCTTCTCAGCTTCTGCAAAATACTTGAAAAGCAGGGAGCTGTTAACTAATGAGTAAAGTTGCAAAATCTATAGACAGATAATAAATCACCTTGAACATGACTGCACATTATCTTGAAACTTAGAAAGAGAAATGGAACTGGTGTACAGGAGTAGTGTCAGTCTAGGGGAAGATCTCCCGAGTTTAAAGTTTCCTGATGAGTGCCATGCTGATCCTGCATGTACTCAAAACAGTGCTCTCCAGCACTGATGATGTTCCCTAGTCAGGTTATGAAATGTCTATAAGCAAACAACCAAGCACAGAGAAGCAGGATTCTACAACTGGGCTTCCTACTCAATGCTATGTATCTTGTAGTGGACTGCAGTGGTTAATGGCTGGGTGATGGTTTATTTTTTAATTGGTTGGTTTATAAAGTATTGCTATGCTGCTGTATTTCCAATAGCCTGAATGGCACAGAAATGGATGGAACCTTACGGAGTTGTGGACAGCAGAAGATTAAACCATACTTTTCTGGAGTGGGTTACAGCCTCCTAGAATGATATATTCAGGAATGAAATTTCTCAATTTGCATTTAAGTTATTTCTTTGTGAAGAAATTGTCTTTAAACAAGTCAAAAAGAGGTCTGTAAAGTATCTTCAGACCCCTCACATCCTGGACATAAATGGTTTCAACTTCTACCCTCAAAATGACATTACAGAGCCCTGCACACCAGAACAACTAGACACAAGGACAGTTTTTCCCTGAATGCCATCACTCTGCTAAACAAATAACTCCCACAACACTGTCACACTCTTTA